CAGCCGGTCCCCGCACTCACCCGAGCCCCTCAGGCTCCCCTCAGGCTCCGGCGCCCGGGCCGCGGCTCCGGCCCCAGCGGCGCGCGCAGCCCCAACGGCCCCGCGCTCCGGTTTGAATCCGCGCCGCCAGCCAATCGCCGCGCGCCCCGGCTCCCCCCGTCCCCTCCCCCTGCCTCTCGTTGGCTGCGCTCAGTGGGCTCCTTGAAGCCAGCCCGGTGCCATGTCTGCTGAGGGCGCGGTCTGCCTGCCCGGCGGGGCGCGGCTGCCCGCGCGCTGAAGCCGCCCAGGTGCCATATTTTGTGATGGCGGATGGTGCCAGCGCTCGTTGCTTAGCAACGGGGACGCCGGGAGGGCCCGGGACCCTCAGGCCTGGGCCTGCTCCGTGCCCACCGCTCCAGAGGGGCTGTTCGGGGCAGGAAAAGCCCTTCTCAGGCCAAACCGGGTTGTTATTTCCAGCAAAGCCACGGGCGCAGGGCTCGTGTGGGCCTGAGCGCCCCGTGCTGGTTCTGCAAAGGGTCAGGGCAAGGGGCTGGGTGCAGCGGGAGAACGTTGAAATTCACCGTGAGGCTGTTTATGGGGTGCTGTCACTTGAGAAATACAATGCTTTGCCTGCTCCTCGTCTCCAAACTTTGATTTGAGTAACAGCCGGCAACTTGCGCCAAAGGCAAAACCCATTTCAAGCCACGTATGACTCTTCCCTGTGCAGGCGTTTAATATGCAAACAGATAAAACCCAAACCCAACAATTACACAAAGGGAATTCACATAATCATAAAATAACAACGTGCTTTAATCTTTTAAATCTGAAACAAAACAGCGGGTAATTGAAGAATGGATATTAGCAATTAGAAAGCGGAACTAAATGCTGAAAATTGCGCAGTGGAAAAGGGAGTTTGTAAAGCAGATTGCTCTCATCATCCAGCTGCTTTGTTGGAACTGCTTTATTTAGGGTATATAGTTTGTTTTAACTTAATAATAATTAATTTGTAATAGATTGTAAAAAGCCTTAGGATCTTTGGGAAAGTAAATGTTACTGAGGCTTCCTTGAAGAAGAGAGCCAAAATTATCCACATTTATAGGGGAACTGAGGCCTAGAAGAGACACAACTCATCCTCAGAGCCAATGGCCAAGCGAGAGAAAGGTCCTGACCTTGACGTATTAACTTTTAGTCCAGGAAATCACCCAAAATCCCAATTTGCCCCTGAAGTTGGAGGTTGACAGTTACACCTGGCTCTGTGCAGGTACATCCCCCCAATTGTGATGAGGCTCGGCTGCTTCAGCCCCGAGTCTCCTGCAGCTCCTGCCTGTAATTAAATCTTCACAGCTAAGATGCCTCTATTGGCAGATTGTATTTATAGGCAGGCGAGTTGTTTTAGTGTCGTTCTGAAGAGTTAAGGAGGCTTTTTGCTCATAAGCAAATTCTGTTCTCTTTCAAATCGTCATCCGCAATCTCGTGCCAATAAAAAAAAAAAAGCACATTATTTTAGATTATTGCCCCCGCGGTGCTTGTTGTGCGTTACTGCAGTAGGTGCTGGGCTTGTGTTACACAAATTGCATTTCTTCCATATGTGTTCCACCATCGTCCTCCCTCTGAATCGGGAGGGCAGCAGGATCTGAGCACCCCAAAAAGCTTCTCAGAACTGCCCCAACCTGTGCTGTGGACCTGGCAAATGGGCCCCTGCTCTCAGGCCCAGGCTCTAAAACCATTGTGGAGTTTCTTTCCTCCTCCTTGGTTGATGAATGATGAGAGCACAGAGATCAGCAGCACCTTTCCTTTGGAGCTTTATTCCACAGGAGAAGAAAGGCAGAAGGACTGAGGGCCTTTTCAGGAGCTGCTTTATGGCAAAGTAATTATATTCTCTTTTTGTTTGTGTCAGGAAGAGGGGGGGAGAAGCCTTGAAATGTCTCATCTGGGAAACCGTTAATAGAATTTATGCTAATTTGATGATTCCGGCGATTACTGGCGGAAGCACTTCACATTCTCAGGCAGCAGAAATTCTCCTCCAGCTCCTCCCTCAGCCTCGCTGGGTTGCTCTTCAGCCCTTTCTCCTCCAGCCACCCCAGACCCTTCTCTGGGCAACACCGGCTGAGCCCGGAATGTGACCCTGGGATGAGACCCCAGGATGTCACCAGGATTGGTGCTGATGCCAGTGGCATTCCCTGGTGACCCCATTCCTCAATTTTTGGGGAAAATGGAAGGAAACCTGCCCCAGTGCCTCGCAGTGTGCGCAAAGAGCAAAGCCAAACCTCTCCCTGCCAGCCTCATCCTCTGGTGAAGCTTTGCAAACACCGATTGCTCTGCCCAGCTCCTGTAATTAACTCTGCAATTGCAAACCCATTTGTGCAGCTTTGTGCACAGGGGAAACCTTTATTAAGTTCCTTTTAATCCAAAACCAGTTAGACCACGATGGTCTTCATAAACAGTCATTCAAAAAATAAAAAGGCAGGGGGAAGCGAGGGGAATGAGAAACTTTAAGACAGCAACCTTTCTCCAGGGAAAAAAAATGGGGGGAAATTATCTTAGGTGCATTTCTCTTGGTTCATTCATACAGCAGGGGTGTTAAAAAGGAGTTGTTCAGTAGTGTGAGGAAAAAATCCATCAGGCTGGGCAGGGGGGGCAGTTGGAGTTTAGCCAGAGGGAGATGGACCTTTTAGAGAATTAATTTCTGATTTCTCCTGGCTGGCCAGAGCCAGAGGCCGGCAGATGGCATCAGGCTCATGTGCTGGGTGGGAGCTGCAGGGCCTCGGCCATCCCTCAGCTGGGCAAAATGTGGCCAGAGCATCACCCACGGGGGCTGGCAGGAGGGGAATGAGGAGCCCATGGGGTTTGTAACGAGGGGATAAAGGAGCCCATGGGGTCTGTGGGGAGGGGGATGATGAGACCATGGGGTCTGTGAGGAGGGGGAAAAAGGGGCTCTGGTTTTGCCATCAGTCCAGCAACAAACCAGGTTCATCTGTGATGTCCCACCTGAGAGAACCCGGGATGTTTCTTTCATCAACTTTGGGGTGAAGATCACTTGGATGGGATGAGCCAAACCCACCGGTGCATTAATGCCAGCAGAGAAGCCACGGCCTTACCCTGAACTCCTTAAAAAACAAAGGGAGTCTCTATTGCCTTCATCTGGCTTTTAATGAATGACCTCTTGTCGCCGGGAGCTGCGTGCGGTGACAAAGGACCTCTGTGGGCCGATATTTATGATTTCATTTAAGCCGGGGAGTAAGCTAAGGGAGAGGGCTGGGAAATAAAAGCTGAGCTGATGGTTCTGTCTTTAAACTCAAGGGATCTTTATCTAGTTTTTGTATTAATACAGTTGTCATCTCTTAAATATTTGAGCGACTCACAGCCATGAACGCTCCCACGCCGGAGGGACTCATTGACTCCGGCTCTCCCAAGCCCACACCCTCCTCTGGACCCAAATGCTGGGAGCAGGGAAGGGTTTGCATTTTCTCAGTGCCCCCCAAACCCTACCCACACATGAAGCCTGCTGTGAGTGCCCACGACCTGCTTGTGGGGGGCCCCGGGCTCCAACACCCCTCCCCACACCAGCGACTTGCCAACACTGATAAATTTTTGCCTTTTCCTTCGGCAGGCCTTGGTGGAGGATTAAACAGCTGGGAGTCGGGAGTGAGAGCGTGTCCCCTCTCCTTTGCCATGCAAACAGAGAAAATTAATCTTCCAGCTTCCTCTGATATTTGGGCTGAATTACAAGCTGGGAGCGGAGATAAAGCGCGGGCGAAGGAAGGCACAGGTACAGCGGAGCCAGGCTGCTGGCACAGGCCTTTGTCCATGCAGATAACGCTCCCCTCCTGGAGTCATGCATAATTCACCAGCCTGCCTCCCTGTCCTGGTCATCCCTCCCTCCTCTTGCTCGCTCTGTTCTCCCTGAGCAGCTGGAAGCTCCATGTCCGAGCGAGCCATCGTGTGTTTGTGTGCAGAGACACATCAAATCTCCCTGACAGCATGGGTCTTGTTGGGACAAAGGTAAAGGGACCTTGTGCCCTCTGCCTGGAGGCTGATGGAGCTGTGGGTGACACCTGTGCTGGCATGGGACACTGGTGTCACCCTGCAGTCACACCTGCAATCCATCCAAGGCACAGCAGCACGCCCGCTCCTGCCAGGGCCGGGGCTGTGTTTGAGATGCCCATCACATCCCAGCTGTGCTAACCACACTATCTCCCTAAATCCCTCCACGTTACACTTGGAGAGAGGTTACATCCTCCGGGATACCTGGCCCAGCATTAACAGACACCAACTGCATTTTATTTGGTCGATCATCCGGAGGCTCTTGACAGAACTGTGCCACACAGAGCGGGAAAGCCATGGAGGTTTTCCACAGCCACCAGGAGTTCCTCTCCCAGAACAAAACAAGAACAACCTCGGTCACTCCCAGCCAAACAGCAAACAAACACACACACACACACACACCTGCTTAATGATTTTTGCTTTGTAAACCAAAGCGGTGCCATGAGTTTAATAACCACTGCTTGGGAGTAATTGGGGCGATTATTGTATGGCCCAGGGGGAAAATTGCAGCTTGTTATCTCCAGGGAGTAGCATTAGGATCCAGCAGATAATCAGACCGTTATTTGTTGCACTTCAGAATGACATTTCTCATGGATTTAAAAACGATAGTGATCAAGGCATGTTGTCAGAGCCACTGCCAAACTGCAGAGTCCAGAGACCTGGAAGCTAAATAGCACCTGGAGCTGCCTGGGACAGCTGCTCTTCCAGCAGGAATAACAGACTTATGTGCCACATTGAGCTCAAAGGCATCCAGACCTCAGCAACACTCGTCTCTTCTTTACTTTGAGATTCTCATAAGAGAGACAACACTCAGGATGAGGATGCAAAGGGAGGATATCAGCTCTAGCATGCCACCAACCAGATCTATACTCATACTCGGGTTTCTGTGAGACCTTCCCTCCTGTTTCTCCCTCTCCACCCCAATCAATGGCCTCTGCCTGTGCCCTCACCTCCAGCAGCACTGAAATTTGAGGCTTGGGCAGGAGCTGCAGCATCATTGCTGTTTTCTGCATGGTCCTGCAGAGACAGCAGCGCTGGGCACCTTCCCTGTGCCAC